ATATATATATATATATATATATATATATATATATATATATATATATATATATATATATAGATATAGATATATATAATATTTTAAAAATCGAATATTTTATTTCTTGTCCGAAGTATTTTTTGTGGGCCTCATCTTAATCAGAGACGGTTGGATCAGTCATGCTGGGGCCCAGGTGGCGGTGAGATCCAACGGTTAGAATAGCATGAATTTACTTTTATAATTTTAAATTAGCTTTTTGACTAAAAAACGCTGCGTTTTGAGAATCTATAGAAGGCTGGTCAAGAATAGTATTGATTTAAATTAAACTTGTCGGAGCAAAGTCTTTTAAAATAATTAAATAGAAAATATATATATATATATATTTAAATTAAAATTTTAGTTTAATTTTATCTTTTTTTTTATCAAATCTAAAAATTAAAAAATATCTATTAATTTTAAAAAAATTTAATTGGCAAAAAATAAAAGTTAGACCGTTTTTAATTTTATATTTAATTAATATTTATTTTGTATTCGATCTAAAATTAAAATTTTAGAGTTTAATTAGGCATTAGTTTATATTTAATAAATATTCGTTTTTTTAAATATTATTTTTTATTAAAAAAAAAGAATAAGAATTATAGATTGAGTGATGTTGGGTTGTCCTAAAGAATTAATTCTTTGATATCATTTTGTCACAAGAACTTGTCCGACTTTTCTTTTCAAATTTGTCTTATTCAAAGAAAACGTTCATCGAGAATAAGAACGAACAGATGTATTGAGTTGTTTTGAAGATCATTTGTGATGATTTTCCAGTACTGCAGGAGGAGCAATCACACCGAGCCTTCCAGGAAACACTAGCCCGACTATAACAACACCAACCACAACCCCCACCACGCCAAGCTTCAACAACGGTGGTACCGATGACACGAATGGACTAAACCCAGTATACAACCCGACATCTACCAACGCGAAAGCCTCTTCGAGTCTTACGACCTCTAAACTCTTGATCTTGATATTGTTGTCAATTGCTATCTCACTCGGTTCGTAAACAATATGTAGAGTAATGTCTAACATTGAATTTATCGGGAGACGGTTTACTCAATTTTGTTAGAAACTGGTGAGGCTTAAGAGATTGATCAAATGTATATTTTATTTGGACATTATAGAGTCGGTTTAGCTAAGCCTTTACAATTCTCCTACTTTCTTTTAAATGGGGTTTTACGTGTTTAGTTAAACGATTCAATTAATACCTAATTAACATCGGATGTTTAGTTCTGAATCTATTGAAGCTCGGTTTTATTTGAAAACTTGAAACTCGAAGCAAACTATAAGTTAAATATTTGTTCATATCCGAAAATGAATAAATGTGTTGTTTTTTTAAAAATAAAATAGTAATTTAACCTTAAAAAATTAAAGGTTTATCCACTAAATTTTTAGATAAATTCATTAGTTTATAATGGTATTATTCGATTTCATCTTCTAAACAGCAAAATATTGATACGACGGCCGGAAAACAGAGGCCTGAATCCAAATCGTATATGAAAAACGAGTGCAATTCTCTTCGGGTAAGTTTCATTTTAAAATACGAAGATTTCTGTATTTCTATTTGTTTGATAATCAATTAGGGCTCGGGGAATTTGCGAGATCGATCTTCCGACGTTAGAATTTTCGTAGCGGGAAATTTAGAAGTTGAAGAAGATGAATATCTTCAGATTGGCTGGGGATATGACTCATTTGGCTAGCATTTTGGTTTTGCTCCTCAAAATTCATACTATCAAGTCTTGTGCAGGTTCGATTTCTTTCTCTGGTTTTCTTTGTTGTTTGTGTAGTTTGAGCTTTTGGCGTTGTTTTGCCGGTTGTGAACTTTGTGAACTCTGTCGTGAATTGTTGATTTCGTCGAATATGATGATTTGTTGATTCTCATTTCGTTGAATGAGGGTAGAATTTGACGAATGTTTCGTTTGGAGGGGGGTTTCGCTTTGGTTTGTTCTTGATTTTCCTGTTCTTTAGGTAATTTGATTCCTGTTACAGAACAGTAAAGTTGGGTTTCAATTTAAGCCTGATGTTTAACTGAAAGTATAAGCATGTGAAACCTACCAATGTGATCACATCGATTGGAGAGGATTAGGAGTGTCAACGAGGACGCTAGGCCCCGAAGGGGGTGGATTGTAAGATCCCACATCGGTTGGAGAGGGGAACGAATGTCAACGAGGACGCTAAGCCCCGACGGGGGTGGATTGTAAGATCCTACATCGGTTGGAGGGGAGAACGAGTGTCAACGAGGACGCTAGGCCCCGAAGGTGGTGGATTGTAAGATCACACATTGGTTAGAGAGGAGAACGAGTGTCAACGAGGATGCTAGGCCCCAAAGGGGGTGGATTGTAAGATCCCACATCGGTTGAAGAGGGGAACGAGTACCAGTGAGGACGATAGACCCTGAAGGGGAGTGGATCGTAAGATCTCACATAGGTTGGAGAGTGGAACAAGTGTCGGCGAGGAGACTGGGCCTCAAAGGGGGTGGATTGTAAGATCGCACATCGGTTGAAGAGAGAAACAAGTGCCAGCGAGGACGCTAGTCCTAAAGGAGGGTGGATTGTAAGATCCCACATCAGTTGGAGAGGAGAACGAAGCATTGTGGAAACCTTTCCCTAGCATACGCGTTTTAAAAACCTTGAGGAGAAGTCCGGAAGGGAAAGCCCAAAAAAGACAATATCTACTAGCAGTAGGCTTAAGCTGTTACACTACCATTCAACCACAAATGCAGATTACACGAGTTTAAGTGCACGTGACATTTCCTTTGTTTATCAAAGCTTAATGTCTTTGGTTGAATGAACCCCCACATTCTAGAGCATTTGACAAAAGTAAAAGGAATGTGAATGTGTTGAGATCTCATGGAGGCTGGCTGCTTTGTATATTAAAATCTTACGAGTTTCTTAACAAACGAATGTCGTAGGGTCAATCAAATAGTTATCCATGAGCTTAACGAAGGTAAGAGTACGCTAGTTGGGACCCGAACGCATATTTGTAGGGAAAAAAGGGATTATAAATTTGTGAAATGTGGGTCACTTTGCTTTTGATTGTTTCAGCATTAAACATGTCTTGTTGGTTCTATATGTTTGAACTCTCTTCTGACTGGAGCTGCCATGTCTACTAGCATTAACATGTCTGAATCTTTGTATTGATCCTGCAGGCATTTCTTTGAGGACTCAAGAACTTTACGCCTTGGTTTTCATTACTCGATATTTGGACATATTTGACGGATTTTCATCAATATACAATTCTATAATGAAATTAATATTCCTGGGGAGTTCTCTCTCCATTGTTTGGTACATGCGACGACACAAAGTCGTGCGTAGATCATACGACAAGGACCAGGACACATTTTGCAATCAATATATTGTGTTGCCTTGTCTACTGTTGGCACTGGTTTTTAATCATAAGTTTACGTTTAAAGAGGTACATATCTTATTCCTCTTGCATTGGATCATATCACAACTTAGAATGGAGTTCATCAAAGGAAGATATAGATGTAGCTTTGCATCATTTTCTGTTGATGTTCTATGTTAATGAATGGAAATGGGTAGGTTATGTGGACGTTTTCCCTATATCTCGAAGCTGTTGCCATTCTTCCTCAATTGGTGTTGCTACAAAGGACAAGGAATATCGACAACTTAACGGGACAATACGTCTTCCTTCTCGGGTAAAGCCTTCGCTCAATATCTTGTCATGTACATTACATTTTGATGCTAAATTGCATATGATATTGAGGGATTCTAAGCCAGGATATTATGTTCCATTGAAGGTGCATCGTGTTTTTGTCTTTTACCTCGTGTTTCGTGACACGTTTAAGCTTAATGTCTAATTTATCTGCAGATTATGTTGTGAAAGTTCTCATACCAAATGAATGCTTAGTTTGAATATTAGAGTCATGTTCTTTCTCCTTGATACAAGCCTTTGTGTTGGCTTGGTCACTTTGTCAGGGTAAGCATCTAGATTTTTTAGGACGGTTTTTCGAAAGCCTTCTGATTTTGGTTTGTTGTTTATACCTCGATTTTTGTTTTCTTGACGAACTTTTCTGAATTCGATTCATCAAAAATTACTTGATCCATTTAAATCCATTCGAAGATACATGTATTTGGCAAAAGCTTGAATCCGTTCTCGTTTTCATTTAAACTTAAGCCTTTGAACATACATTCATCACGTCTATTTCCTGATCTTTTCAGCTCGTACCGTGCATTGTACATATTGAATTGGGTCTACCGCTACTTCACCGAGCCAAGATTCGTTCGTTGGACAAGTATGTCCCTCCCTCCCTCCCTCGCGCCCACACTCACACACAGACACACAGGCAGTCATTACCAATGAACTGAATTAGCTACTAATTGTCGAACGAATTCGCTGTTGCAGCTTGGATAGCTGGTTTCGTGCAAACGTTGCTGTATGCGGATTTCTTCTACTACTATATCGTAAGGTAAATTCTACAACTTAATGATATGATGCTGTGTGTTGATGATATATATATATATGCCCTAAATCCTTCAATCCTTGGATGATTTGCTCCTTTTTAACTGATGTCTCTCAGCTGGAAGAACAACGTGAAGCTTGAGTTACCAGCTTAGCTTTAGAGTTGTGTGTATAAAATAAAAGCTTTGGTAGAAGGGACGCAACAGTTGATGACCTGAGTTGAGTGCACATTTATGTTCCATTCGTTTCGCAAAATAGGGATTTTATTTAAATTAGAAGACTTAGCCCTATAGAAGAGACATCTGCTTCCTTGGCTTTCGCTTTCAATCCTTATGTAGGTTCACTTTCTTCAAATAAACATTATATACCATAAACGATGCTATTTAACTGTGATCATAAAGAAATTTCACTCTTTTAATTTTTTTTTTAAAACTAATATGCAGGAAAAATAATAATAAAAATATGGAGAAGGGAAATTGACTTGTAATGAAAAACCTTTTAAACTCTCAACAGTATCCAACGATTTAAATGTCTCAAAATTAACAACACAAAACAAGACAGATAAAACTAAAAATAAATGAAAAACTGCTACGAGTCAGAGCCGCTCAAACACAAAGTAAAAGCCACTCACAACTAACTAAGCATCAACCCAGAAGTCTTTCTCATGTTTAGCAAACTAAAATGGTTCTGTCTTTGACACAAAATGCAAGTTCTGTTCGGTTCATTGTTGTTGGTTGGCTTATTTCTTCTTCACAGCGGACTTGGTCACCTTGGCTCCCGTTGGGTCCTTCTTCTCCACGCTCTTGATCACACCAACAGCAACGGTTTGACGCATGTCACGAACAGCAAAACGACCCAAAGGTGGGTATGAAGAGAAGGTCTCCACAACCATGGGCTTGGTGGGAATCATCTTAACCATACCAGCATCACCGTTCTTCAAGAACTTGGGCTCCTTCTCGAGTTCCTTACCAGATCGACGATCGATCTTGGTGAGGATCTCGGCGAACTTAACAGCAATGTGGGAGGTGTGGCAATCAAGGACTGGGGCATAACCATTACCGATTTGGCCAGGGTGGTTCATGATGATAACCTGAGAGGTGAAGTTGGCAGCCTCCTTGGCAGGGTCATCCTTGGAGTTTGAGGCAACGAAACCACGCTTGAGATCCTTGACTGCAACGTTCTTCACGTTGAACCCAACATTGTCACCAGGCAAGGCCTCTGGGAGAGACTCGTGGTGCATTTCAACGGACTTAACTTCAGTGGTCAGTCCAGTTGGTCCGAAGGTGACAACCATACCAGGCTTGAGGACACCAGTCTCAACACGACCGACAGGGACAGTTCCAATACCACCAATCTTGTAAACGTCCTGAAGTGGGAGACGGAGGGGCTTGTCTGAGGGCCTCTTGGGCTCCTGGATCAAGTCAAGAGCCTCAAGAAGTGTTGGTCCCTTGTACCAGTCAAGGTTGGTGGACCTCTCAATCATGTTGTCACCCTCGAATCCAGAGATGGGCACGAAGGGGATTTTGTCTGGATTGTATCCAACCTTCTTGAGGTAAGACGACACTTCCTTCACGATTTCATCATACCTTGCCTTTGAGTATTTGGGGGTGGTGGCATCCATCTACAGGAACAAACGATAAAGGAAAATAGAGTTAGGAGATTCCAATTGCATTGACTAATTGAAAATTATTGAATATACTATCTACCCTAGGAGGATGAACAATAAGCAATATACAATTAAGACTGAAGATGACATACAGAGTTGCAAATTGACATAAAGAAAGTCATATGTGGATATGATACACCCTTCGATTCTTTGGAAAGAACAAACCAGATTAAGGTCTGAAGCAAACACCCAATGGTCGTTCTCTCCTCAGGAAAGCAAAACTTCCTGTATACAATAGTGGACACATATCTTACCAGCCACATTGTATCTTCACTACGACTGATCCACAGTCAGATAATATTATATACATTATGGGTTGAGCATTTATTGTTCCACGAGTTGATTAATCAATTTACGCTAGCAACTATAAAGTGCGGATAAGAAATTAAACCATGTAAAATGAAAACGAAATACAAAAAAAAAAAAAAAAAAAACAAGACTATATAACAACCTTGTTACAGCAGCAGATCATTTGCTTGACACCAAGGGTGAAAGCAAGGAGAGCGTGCTCACGGGTCTGACCATCCTTGGAAATACCAGCTTCAAAACCACCAGTGGTCGAGTCAATGATGAGGACGGCACAATCAGCCTGTGAGGTTCCAGTAATCATGTTCTTGATGAAGTCACGATGTCCGGGAGCATCAATGACTGTGCAGTAATACTTGGTGGTCTCAAACTTCCACAGAGCAATGTCAATGGTAATACCACGTTCACGCTCTGCCTTAAGTTTGTCAAGCACCCAAGCATACTTGAATGACCTTTTGTTCATCTCAGCAGCTTCCTTCTCGAACCTCTCGATAACACGCTTGTCAATTCCTCCAAGCTTGTAGATAAGGTGACCAGTGGTAGTCGACTTACCAGAGTCGACATGACCAATAACCACGATGTTGATGTGAATCTTTTCCTTACCCATTTGATACTAACCAAATGGAACTGCAAAATATACAAAGAAAATAAGTACAATTCCTACCGATCTACAAACATACAACATAACCAAGGAGTTTTAAAGAACACAGATTAAATAAACAATGTTCATAAATATCATGTACAAACACCATCCAGGAAAGGAATCATGAAAGCTAAATCTCCAAAAACCCTAAAGCTAAGCATATAAATTTATGCACCAGAGTACACAAGAATAGCCAAGCCCTGTAAACAACAAAAGTACTCTACAAAATATGAAAAGAAGCGAAAAGATGCCGAATACCCGATGAAACAACAAACTTAACATCTGATTTCGCGATACTAGCTAACATCTATGAACAGATACAAATCAGAACAAAAACTAGGCATGCTACGATAATTCAACGACCGCCAGACACCGTAAAAGTTAGCAATAAACAAATCAACTCAATGCTATATCAAGATCCAAAAAGAGAAAGATTTCTCTATAAAACTCATAGATCTGACACAAATCAGCCAAACAAGCATACTAAACCTAATCGAGGAACAGAAATGACATACTGAAGACTTAAATCGCATAGAAATTCAAAGAAAATCATACAAGTGCTATGAACATGAAGCATAATCAACGAAAAACATGGAGAAAGAAACGCTTACCCACAAGAATTTGAGGAGAAATCAGAAGAAAGAAGCAGCCTAAATCTTACGCAGGAGCAAGCAGCGAGGTATAAGCGAAGAGATTTATTGCATATTTATAGCCGCTATGTGCGTCTAGGGTTTCTATGAGACCGTCGTGCCGCTTCTATATTAGTTTACAAATTTACCCCTTCATTTCTATGCAAAATTACGATAATAGCCCTTTCTTCCTTGCCCTAATTCCTCTTACCGCCTCACCCTAAGATCGAGAAGAAGCTGCCACAGTTTTTTATAATTTCAATTTTTTTCCCTTTTTTTAAAATTACAACTTTGATTGTATTAAACTTAAATTTTAATTTTACAATTTTAAATATTAAAAAAAAAACGTGGATTTAAAATTTTTATTTTATCCATTTAATTTTAAAGCATATTTATAATATAATTGAGTTTTTTTTTAATTTGTGAATTTCATTAATCTGTATATCATGTATGGAAATTTAAATACAAAATAAAAATTAGGCTAAATTAATAAAAATACTTTTAAACTTCGACTTTCATTCAAAAATATTTCAAAACTTTTAAATATTTTAATAATATTCTTCAAATTTTCAAAAAGTAAAAATAAAAAAAGTAATTTTTTAAATTAAAAATATGGTGAGTTTTTTTTATAAAATTGTTTAATATTTCATATCAAAAAAAATATAAATGCTGTATTCTTAAATTTTCAAAATTTTCATTAATATATATATATTTTTTTTTTAATACTTTTAATCTTTTTGAAAAACTTCCAAAACACCTTTAAATTTTTTTTTGAAAAACTTCTAATAAATATATTTAAAACTTCAAAAAATATCACTTTTTTAGTATAAAAATAAGTATATATTTTTCTATTATAAATTATTATTATAATAAATTAGTATATATATATTCTCTCTTTCTTAGAGTCCTCATCTAATTCGGCCCATTTTATTTTAGTTAATTAATATTCAATTTAAAACATTATTTATTTGAAAACAATTTTGTAATATTAAATTTTGTTAACAAAATATTATATTATATATTTTTTATTTGTGAACGTTTTTACATCTTTTTAATAATAACGATAATGTAAAATCGAAAATAATGTATTATTTTATAAAAAAGTATTAAAAAATAATAAATAAACAAAAAGATTCCGTTAAGAACTCGATCCTCATAAAATAAATGAAAACGTTAGTAAAATGAAATAGGAGGCGAGGACAGGGATTGGAAAGGCCCCGACATCTCTAAAATTCAACCATGATTTATTGTAACACTCGATATTACACGGAGTTAGCTCAAATTTCTTTATAATAAGAAAATTATTTTTTAAAAATTTCGAGCAACCATTTTGGTCTTTTACAAGGGCTCTCGTAACATCATAGAAATGGAAGATTATTAAATCTCAAAACTCGTGTTTCATAAACCCTTGGGTGTTGTCTTTCTCTTCAAATTTTGCTCTAGGGTTGAAGTTTAACCGACTCATTCGATTAGTCTCGAGATCTAATAATGATCTGTTATTCACCATTCTAACCAAGCTCTTAGTTGGAATAGTCGTGAAGATACCCTATTTGTGAATGTTTGCAAGGATCCTAAAAAAACCTCTAGCTACATAAATTTAACACTGACAACACTTATCAATTATTGTATCGAGAAAACTAATAATTAGTATGTAATTATTAAGATTAAAATACGTGGATTTATAAAGTTTAATCAAATTTATCATTAATTAAAATTTAAAACATAATTAATTAAATTTTCATTTTTTTTTTTATAGTTGACTCTGGACAAACTTTTGATTTTTTTTTTTTCTTAATTTAGAGATTTCATCTGCCCTGGTTAATTGAAGTATGTATTTATTTATTTACTATATTAAGTATTTATTTATTTATTTACTATATTAAGCAATATTGAAATCAAGATTTTAAAATAATTTTAAAATAAGACATGTATATTAAGAAATTTTTTTGGTTTATGAATTTTCTTAAAATTATATTTGATTGAATTTTTAAAAAGTTTGACTTGACCCAACTCGACCTATCGTGAATGGCCATCAATCACAATTCTTCAATGAGAAGTAATGGCGAAAGCCTACAATTGATAA